CGAGGATTTCTTCTTATATATTAAATATAATTTAGTTCATAGTTATATATATATAATTTTTTTATCTATGCATATGTATAAATTAGTGCTATTTCTCTTTTAATGCAGGTTCATAAAGGGTAGAGTCAGAGCTATGGCAACACTTAAATGCACATCCCAGCCAATCACCTTTCTTTGATAGAAAATGACTCTCAACAACTCTCAACATGTCTTCATCCTCCCAGAACTGGAATAATTCCATTTCTCAGTAATTTAGCTACAGTGAGCTTCTCTTACTATAGTATTTTAGTTAAGCTGACATAAAGCATTGAGAACTTGCTCATTTTCAGAAACTACAGGTCTGACATACTGGTAAAGCTTTTTATCTTTTTAAAACAAACAAATTCAGCTACTACTTGATTTGAATTGACAGGCCACAAAAGGGCATGTGCAAGGAAGGCTCATTTAGTATTTTCTCTTTTCCAATTTCAACTTTGATAAATAGGAAGTCCAATACAAAACTGGTCATATAAAAAAAAATGGCAGAAAATATTTCTTTAGATATTCCTTCCTTGTACTTAGGTACCATAGAAACAAAACTTTTCTGCAATTCTACATTTTCAACAGTTGGTGGCAATAGCAATAAAACTCCACCTGTTTTCTATCTATTTACATTAATATAACACACCCAGAGAGGGCATGGCCTCTCCACTTGGGAAAATTTAAGATCTGACTGGACACAGTTGTGGATAATCAGCTCTAGCTCAGATTCTCCCAAGATCTATTTCACTAGGATTGGACCAGATGATCTTAAGAGATCAATTCCAGCCCCTGCAATTCATGTATTTTAATGGTCCACACAAAAATAGGCAAAAAAAGATTAAGGAAGTTTGTGATTTCAGCTTTTCTAAGCAGCTTTTTATTAAACAAAAAATGAACTATCTCTCCTCATCTCCTTCAAATTCTAAATTTTCAGTGACTCTGAGACTAATGACTTTGTCTGTGTATGATTTAATCCTTCATTCTTCTGACTCAGTGTCCAGAGCATTTTACTAAGCCTGCTATGGACTTTTCCAATGAGGCCTGAAATCCAGGTTTTGCTTGTTCAATGAAGAAAATTGAAGAGGACTTGACAATTTTCATCAGACATTTTCTTCAGCATTCTTTAATATTTCTCTTTTCCCTAAGAAGATTATGTCAATTCTGTTGCCTTTAATTAAACACACCAAGGGGCTAATTTTCATGTTTTCTGTGGACAGGGATGGCCTCTTTCAACAAGAGGGGGCTTTTAAGATCCTGAATTGTACTGCAGCTTTTGAACTAAAATGCCTCTAAAGGAAAGTGCATTTTTAAGGGTTCACATATTTTGTCAACACTCTCAAAATCTCAAGAGAGAGCAATTTTTCAGTTTTTAGACCCTGCTTTGCTCCATGATGACTCTTGTTTGTTTGCTTCCATCCCGTATCTTGTTCAGAACTTTCTAGGTAAGCAGTACCTTTAATTTTTTTTTAACAAAATCATAATGATAAAACCATAATCTCTTGCCAAAACATGGAAAGAAACGCATACATAGCACATATAAATCCTGTGCTGCACTTATCCAGATGCCCATATGTTTGCTACTTGAAATTCAATATTCAACTCATCACACAGTCTCAAAGAACACAAGACTGGAATGCTGAATTCTACCAACATTTAGCAGAAATGTACTGCCCTTCACATGAGCACCATAAAACACAGTTCCATCTTAACTTGCCTCAATTTTAATAGCTAAATCACTATCTAAATTCAGATATTCTATGTTAACTTCATTTTTGTCACCCAGAGGAATACTAATATTCCAGGAATCTCACTAAATTTCAAGACTGGGGTCTGGGGTCATTCCCCTATTTTTAGCTCTTGTTAAGAAGAAAAAAAAAAATTCCACCATCTTTTACTCTTCTATGTTGATACAGAAGACATGGTCACAGAAAACACTCAGATAAAGTAATTTTGAACATAAATGTGTTCAAATCTAAAGAAAGCCCTGCCTGCAGTACTACTGTCACTTCCCTCCTGCAACTAAACTGAACTCTGTATACACAGCAATAAATATGATGCTACTACACTTACATTAAAGATTTATCTACCCACCTTCTGTAGAAATTTGCATTCATTTAAGTAAAAAAAAAAAAACAAAAAACAAAATAAAATAATCACAGACTCAATGTGAAGAAGCAGGAGAGGTTTTAGAAAAAAATTACATGGGCTTTTTGCCAAGAAGCAAAAACATTCTGACGGGGAACTGGTATTAGTAGGTACAGATGGTGAAACAGCAGCAACACTCAATTTCTCTGTAGTAACAGTCTGCAGACTCACTGATTTCAGGATTTTATTGCCTGTTTTATACAGCTGAATTTTCACTATTTGCAATAAGCCTTAGACTTTTCTGTGAAATCTGTTATAAATGAAGGGTTTCTAAACAAAAAGCACAAAACCCCAACAAAAAAAAAACCAAAAAACAAAAAAATCCTACTACAAATGAACAACAACAACAAAAAAAAACCAATCCCAAAATAAACCAAAAAACCCCAAAACCAGTCTATGGATTTTGCAGTGAAAGTTAGTTTTGTTTCTTTTCCCCCCCTCTCAATGGCAGCAATAACTCAGGTTTCCATTTTATATCAATGTTCTCGTTTCTTTCTGCCAGATTTAAACTCTTGTAGTGATCTGTAATAAACAACATTCTGGCACAGCTTAATTTTCAGTCAAATCCCTCTGGGGAGTAGAGTGATTTAACATGAAATGTGTATCCCGTCCTGCTGCTTACTGTAATCTACTCAGACCAAATGGGGATAAGGAATACTTACTTCACACAAATTAAAATGAGATGTTTTGGCCAAATTTGAACTCCAATGGAGGTATTTGAAAACATTACCCATAATCTTACTTTAGTCTCCCAAGCCTGGCTAATTAAAACTTCAAACTTCTCCCATTTATCACTGCTCCAGTTTCTGCCTCCAAATCCATTTTGCTTAGCACAGAATATTGTCAGCCTTATAATAAAACCGAAAAATCGAACTAGATGCTGGGTCTTCTTGAAAGTTTTCTGAAGGAAAGTAGGACTGACAAGTCACATTCATGATCCTAAGGAGAACAAGAATAGTGCATATGCTTATTTGTCTCTGAGAGGCTGTAGCTGGCTGAGTGATACTTTCATAGAAAAACTTTGTACAGACCCAAAGTGGCTTCCCCCCAAAAAGAAAATCACCTGAAAGCATGCAACCATACAAGAGGGGAAGGAAAAATTATTTAAAGCAAACTTTTAAAAATGCTTCATGTTGTAAACAAAATATCTAGCACACAGTTTTTAAAGTTTTCAGAACTAGAAATAAAAAGCCACTGATGTGTCTCGGAGTGTAGGTACCCTGCTCTTATCTTTCATGGCTTTTACAGATACCATGGAAACCTTCTACGTGCTTTGGCATTAAAAAGCTTTCAACACCCTATGGTTATTTTAGATAGAAAGTATGGGACCCAAGCAAGTTTAAATGTTCAACAATAACCAGAATTGTTGGGAGAATGGAAGCAACACCTGATTTTCTCTTTTACAATTACTAAAAAACAAACAACCTCAAAGCTTGTTGACGGTGTATTAGAAGCAATTATGTTTAATACCTTCTCAAAGTCAATACCAAATTGCAAATACTCATGAGAAAAATATAACCATCAGGATGTCTATTAACCCTCCACATTTTAGAGATGATGGAACACTTTATGATGAAACTTTTGCTAACTCCAAACAACAGAGCATTCTAGAAATAACATGTCAACCTTCCTCCTTGTACAGTGAAAACTCTCAGTTACATCTTCAGCACTTTACAGGTATCTGCATCACATTAGTTTGTAAATGCTGTTTTATGCTTTAACAGCAGTATGAAGTCAAAACTAATATTTCATGAAATGTAATAGAAGAGTTCAATAATTTCTGAAGAATCTATTTTATGGATTGGAGTCAGAAAGCTGCTTTCCTACTGACCTTCTAAAATCTTTTCTTATCAGTGAAAATATTCTGTGTTTGAGGAAACATATTTGAAATCTCCCACTTTTCTAGCACATCCTTGTTCTTTCAGTATTGCATTCACTACATTTTTAATAGCATTTTATATATAAGAAAAAATAAGGTGGTTCTTGCTTCCTGTGGTAAGTATCTAATTTTTCCTGAGATAAGAGTGCTTGGTTTCTGACAAAATAAATCATAAGATTTATCAAACTTCTTTCCTTCTTCAAACTCAGTAACCATTAGGAACTAGAGAAAAACTGCTCAGATAAGAATCTGAACTTAAGTGAGGAACATCCAACAATTTCAAAATTACTCTTATTTTTAAATCAGTATGTTTTATCTCTATTCTGTAGTTGTTACACTTCACCTTTTAGTCTTAAGGTACTGATATATTCTTGCCTGACAAACAGTAGAGCTTTGTTATTCAATTCCTATGCTCTGAACAAATCACATCTCTGATAATCTAGACAAAATCACCACACTGTATCCTGTTATAGAGCAATCCTGTTATAGCACAGAATTTTCAAACTTGAAGACTGCGTGGAACACTTACACATCAGATAGTCCTTACTTATATTTATTTTTCCTTATCTTAGTATAATCTGATTTATGATGATATTGAACTGTACATAGATATAGATGTTATAGTGTATATAGTTGATATAGTGTATATAGTATATAGATGTATACTTATAGTATATAGATATATATTTTACAATAATAGTTATTTCCATAAAGTCAAACTCAACAGCTCATAGGGAGCTTTGAGAGTCAATTAATAAAGGATCAAGTTCTTGGGGAGAGGAAGCATTGAATGCTCTCCACACTTAGTCATCCAATTATATTTTACAGGTGCAACTGCATCCTTCTCTCTCTTCTTAAAAGATTGGATATCTACACCTGTCAACTCAAAAGAGAAAGTGAGGAACTCATAAACTGATTTTTAAGAATTAGCAAAATGAATTAACTACAATTGTACCTGCAACCACTGGAGATTTCCTGTCATCCAGAAGCTGAATAGCAGTACTGGCTGTCACCACGTTGCTCTTGTTGGCAGTTTCTGCATGGTGTATTAAAGGGGGAAAAAATTAGAAACAATCTATTGCAATATGAGGAAATTTAACTTTTTTCCCCCCTGGTTTTAGATAAGAGTCTATGTGGATACAGTGTTCAGAAAATAAAACAGGGAACATCACATATGCACAGAACATACTGGCACTGCCATTTGAAATTCCCCAGCATGCCAAAAACAATCTTAAACACTGAAATTAAACATCAGGTTTGGCCTCCCCTGCTAAAGGGGCAGTGCAGGTGACAGCTGGCAGGGCTTCTCAATAATGTGAAAATTCACTCTGTTGGACTAGCCCTGGTTAAAATACTTTTTAAAACGTAGTTCTGCCTGTGCAAATATGAAATGAGAAGTGTCACACCACATCTTGCTTGGGGTTTTGCTTGCAGCCCCATGAGAGACAAAGGACCAGGGAAGTAGCTGCAAATTTCAATGCCTGTTTCAGATCAATACTTGATATTTGCTACAAAGCCCACTCCGTACTGACACACTTGGGATCCTTTCAGCATCACACATGGTTCAGAATTTAGGGAATGACAAAGTTACAGACCTGTGCTGAATGGGATTGAGTAGACAAAGCTCCCAGGTATTTGTTCAGCAGCTCTTCTGTACCAGAGTGGAAAATGGTCAGCGTTAAAAATGTTCTCCTTATCTTCAGCTGTCAGGAAGTCTCTTGAGAAAAAAGAGAGAAAGAAAACAAATGTTTGTTTGATGGCACACAATAATGTCAAGCTTTGAGAGACAAAAATAAATGCAATCTTTTACCAAAAAACGGTTTGGGACAATTTTTTCTAATAACACTTGTTCAACAAAAGATTTAAATTTAGTTACTGATAATTATTTGTGACACACAGTAACTTTTGTTGTGAAAGACATTAAAAGCACTAAAAAATAGTACCTCTAAGGACCACTAAAACAATTTTTACTAATTTGTACAAATAAAAATGCTTAGTCTAAAAAGCCTTTTTCTTTCAGCACAATATAAGAATTGTGAACTGCCCAAGGTGGAAAAGGCACTGGAGACTTGGTAGTCTGTTGCCACTGGCATTCACTCTTACGTAGTGAAAAAAAAGGTAATTTTACAGCCTGTGTTCAAAATACTATGTAGGGGCTGTTATTGGACAACTAAATACTTCATTCCTCAATAATTTCAGGGAATGTTGACAGAAGAAAATTTATGCCAAGAACAAGTATAATGTGCACTCCATTGTTCTGGTTTTCTGTCTGACAGTAACAAATTGTAGTGCTGTTGATGTCACCTACTTGTACAACAATATTTGTCCTCAGATAAGCCCACAAAACTTCATATCCAATCAAGTTAGTTTATCATAAATATCAAACACAGATTTTCCTTTATATGCATAATACCTCCACTAGATTACATGTTCTCCAAGGAAAATGGCAAACTTTTGTATGCTGAGGTCTCCTGACTGCTCTTTCACCCAGTCCAATTCTGTTACTTGGCTTTATTTCAATTTCCAAAAATATTTCCCACAACAATGATGCAAAATCACTGAAAAAGCCTACAGGTATTTGTTTGCAGGTGTTGTAGTTAGAGGTGTAGCATGTTCACAATTGTGCTCTGAAGAGGGATGGGAGTGTGTGTGCAGGGAAAGCAAATTTATAGGTTACAGGTGTAAAACAGTTAATTTTTCCAAATGTTCCAGTGAAATAAATAATTTAAGGGATCCTAGGATATCTTTCTAATTTGTTCTGTGTGAAGAAACAGTAGATGGGCTTCATCAAAATAAACTATTTTTCTTCCCTCTTCTGTGGCTGCCAGGCAGAGTTTGTGACTTACTGGTTGGTGAGCTGTTCTGGGCCCACGAACAGGTTGATACGAGAGAGTCCAGTCCTTGTGCCAAGGAAAGCAACTTCCACTCCCTTGTCAGAGTTCCTGAAACAGTGCAGAACACAAGCTAAGACAGCAAACAGACAAAGCTGCCCCACTGCCCCAGAAAGCACAAGTGCACACGTTTTTGAGAGATTATTGTAAGCAGAGTTCCCTTATTTATTGATTTACTTTTAAATGCTGTTTTTTACATTATAGTCATCTGGGTTTTGAATAGTATGCAATGTAGAAATGCTATTTAGACCAAGAATCCACAAAAAGCCAAACACAATAAACTTTTTAGGATTTGTAGGAATAGAATAATAGAACAAAAAGGTGTGGCACAGCTATATACAAACTATTTAATAACATTTCTGGGCTATATTTATGCTGAAGTCATAGGTGTGACTATTGCTCAGGTAAGCAAAAAGATTTAAAACAGGTAGCTGAGAGTCAAACTTAGCTGCCATCAGGACAGGCTTTAGCTTTAGAACTTGGGAAAAAAGGCTCAGACTGAACTCTTCTGCTGCACTATTATCAGTACCAAGCTATTTTAAAACTAATTCTTGTATGGCTGCAAGAACTTCAGCCCCATTACCAGGATAATCCCCAGAATTGCCTTTCAACCACTCTACTTCATGCAAACTGCTAAGCTTAACACTTGTTTACTCTAGTGGATAAAAACTTGTTATTTAACTCCTTAGTACATCATAGCATAAATGAATGAACTAGAAGATATAAACTCTGAAAAGGACTGGCTAATCTCCTGGCTCTCCCTAACAGGAACCTGGATCCCAAGTAGTTCTGGAAAACAAACAAATCAAGGATCAAAGAAATTATTTGCCGGTGCAAGTTTTTCTATATATAATTTATTCTGAGACAAAGTACCCTCAATAATTTTGGTAAATTTTGCATTAAATTTCTCAAGTACCCTTTGTTAAAAATGCACAGAACTATAAGCTGCAATTAGGGTACAATTTCATCAGTTTTATTGTGGAAATTGGGTAACATTTCAGGTAATCATCACGACATACTCTGCAAGATAAACACTTCAGATTGAACTCAAACTTGGTAGTATTTAGGATCATATCAGGATTTGTTAGATATCCCACCATTTCATTAACATAACTAATAAAAATACAGCCATGACTGATGAATAATGATGGATACAAAGATAACTTACTCTGATTTATTCAATGCTAGACTGGTCCAATAAGCTTCTATTGGTGCACTCACAACTGCATCAAACAAAACTTCCTGGATCAATTCTTTATCACCTACCATAGTACAATAAAATCAGTAAATGTATGTGCATATAAAGAATTTTTTAGATCACAAAACAATAGTGTTATCTTATATTTTACTTCATTTTATCTGTGATATGCTTTCAAACTTTTTGTACTACAAAGCATTTACTACACAACATTACACTGTATTTTACCAAAATGCAGTTTTTCATGTATAATTTCATTGCAATTTTAGGTCAAAACCCAATGATACTCCACTTTATGTAACTCATTCATGTATATATTATCTAGTGCTCATGTCTGCATGTGCCATAAGGTTACAACAAGTAGGTCTAGCAGCAGTCACAAAACTCTGCATTTCTGCAAACATACAGAATATGCACAGATCTGCATTTTTAATTCTGCTTTGCAGTTCAGAAATGCCAATTACATATGTATCTTCCCTAAAATACTCATGAAATATCTGGTATATCCTTTAGAGGTGCCATCCAAGGATTGATTCCCATCAGCCCTGTTTAATTTATAAAACCAAATAATTTTGCATAGTACAGCTACACGAGCTGAACAGAAACTTGAATGTTTGGTACAGGAAAATAGTTTACTGTAAAAGTTGAAAAATTATATTATAATTAATACTACTAATAATAATACATAATTAATTCTAATAAATAATTATATCTTTATTGATACCTCGGGAGAACCTCAAAACCATAGGAAATTGCAGAGGAGCATCAGCTAAACAATCCTATCTCAAATCATCACCGGGTGAACTATTCTATGAGTTTATTTTTTTTTTTCTTTATATTTTATGAATATATTTTTGAAGCACTTTGTAGAAGGTTAAGAATGACAGCTTTTAGCTGGAATAAAGGCTGCAAATCCATGTTTCACCAAGTACTTGCATTGGAGCAGGGGCTCTTTTCCTGTGAGGTAGCGTTTAATTGCTTCTAGCTGAGTCATCTGCCGGTGCTCAGGGTGTAAGTCAGTGTTGCAGTAGGACCTGCGAACACGTTGTCAAAACAGTAAAAAGTTATATGTACAAGCACAATCTTTCTTTGTCTTTGAACATAAAGAACTGGGCTCTGCAAGCACAAACAATATGAAACCAAGGAGGGTAACAGACACTAATTTCATGCTTTATTTAAGGCTTACCACTCGTCTGCTAAAGATACATCAGGGTGTTCTAAATCATGCAAACCTGTAACAGGAATAATAATGGGTTATTTAGGGAGAAGTCTGGGTAACAGATGGTTATTTGCATACACTCCATAATATAAACTCTTCTTGGAAAGTGCATTATTACCATAATGAAATAAATCACAGTAAACTATGTTCAAATACACTTTAGGGTCTAACAAACTGGCAAAACTAGTTAAATCATATCTAAAACTGAAAAGGTAAGAAACAAATTTTATGCTGATATGTTTAACTTATATGAGTTACTCACATAATATATTTAAAGTTTAGAAGACAATCTGAGCAAACAGAAATGCAAAATGGTAACAGACTCCTGCTCATACTCCCTCATACTCTTTGGCCAGTAAAGTTCTTTATGCTAAAATACACACTTCTCATTTCATGTGAGTTGTTCTCCTCTCTTATAAAGAAAAAAAAATTGAGAACAATTCCCTCAAAACCTAAGCACACACCCCATGAACACAAACAGCAATTTATGGGATTGTTCAGAAAAGATTTTTTGTACTAATAGGTCACACAAATGCTTGTAAATAAGAACTATATCATTAGTTATACAGCACAATAAAAATGTACTTTGGCAATTTTAAAAACTCTTAAAACACTTGTCAATAGCAAACAGGGTCCAGAAGGCAGCATCTGGGTTTAACCCCCCCAGAGTACCTAATGAACCAGGACTAAGGAGGGCAGGGAAACCAAAACTGGAACTAAAACTGTGGTCCCTGGGGAGGACAGTGAGGTGAAGGTAGGAGTGGGAAATGTTAGTTATGGTTCTGTTAACACTTCTGGGGGTGCATCTGGGGCTCAGAGTGACAGAGATGTGTGGGTGGATTAAGGAACATCGGTGAGAGGGATGCTGGGAGCAGTCTGGGCAGTGAGTAGCTCCAAGTCCCCTGATGTGCCTTCTTAGTAGCTGCTGTGCAGGTACTCAAGGCACTTCTTTTTGTATCTCTCCTGAGTACAAGAATATATTCATGTCCCAAAATACATCGGAAGAACAAAGATCTGAAGAAATTAGCTGTCTTGTTTAACATCACTGACAAAACAAGTAGAAGAATCAGAAATAGAGACCAGCATAAATTCTGAAAGCATTCCTCTATTGAAACACTTCTTGCTGAGCAGCTTCTAAAATTTTCAACCTTCCCTTCAACCTTCTAAAATGCTCCACTCTTCCTTCATCTTCAGAAACCTTCTTGCCAAACACCTTTATCACCACACACAGTTGACTCCTCCACTCGTTTAGTTAAGGACTTATCAAAAAGCCAAATCAAAGAACAATTCTTTCCCTGGGTACCTCTACTACTGTTATAAACATGTAAATCCTTGTAGGTAAATGCACAAACCAGTTATAGCTCTGAAAGACTTCACAATGTATAGTCTGTGAACAAAACCTATAGCCATTACAGTACTCTTAGTGGTTACTTCATTCAGAAAACACCAGAAATAATTAACATTGGGCTATGAGCTGCTCTCTGGGACACTGAGAGAGGAGGATGGAAGAAGCTCCCATCTAAAGAAGATTCACAAACAGTCTGACTATGCTCTGTGAAATAACAGATCTTTAAACAAAAAAGTCTAATTCCCGTATGGAGTCTGCAGACAAGGACCAACCGAATTATCAATAAAACTATTGTGCAAACCACGTGAGAAGATACCTTACCTTCTTCTACAGTTACATTCCCTCTGAAGAAGTATTTTCCATGTCCTCTAGAGAGAGCCACACCTAAACTGTGCAGAGAAATAAAGCAGACCTTGAAATCTGTGAGACAAACAATAGCACACATTCAGAGCTATTTTCATCTTAATGTTTCCAGCTCATGTACTATGATTAACTTAAAACTGTTTGTTTCCAAACCCTCACCAATTATATTTATTGTTCAATTAGTTGCTTCAATGATGTCTCAGTTCTGATGTGCCTGCCACAGTTGGCTGTATTTATGTGTGCTTAGAGGTGCAGTAAACCATTATTCCCTGGCAAACTAATAAATGAGCCCCTCAAAGCTCACTGCTGTTCACCCAGCATGAGATTTCTTCGGCTGAGCCTTGAACATGACCATGGCCTTACAATGAAGGAGACAATTTTTTGTAATTCAGACTAAGCTGTTGAGAAACTACAGAAGTGTGGGAATTGATGGAGGTACTGAGAGAAAAAGAATTTCAAATGTGACAACAGCATCATGACTCCTCCTGGACTAATTTTTCTGTGTTTCATATTTTTAGCTAGTATAGCTCTTTTATATTGACTTCAGCTTCATAAATTCTCAACAGTTATACACTGTGTTTTGGTCTGGTTTTCAGTCTACCATTTAGAACATCCAAGTGGCTGGGGGATCCCATGCCTCTTGCTATTGAACACAAACACAGAATACCTTCTGGCATTCAATCATTCATTGAAGGGGATTATCTTGAGCTAGGAATCTGCAGTCATCAGCAAGACTGCAAATGCACGGGCTAGTACTTGAAGTACATGGGGAGGCACCAAATCCAAGAGCACACAAGCTGCAATCAACAGCTCAGTCTGGGAAAGGGCTGAACACCAAACATCTTTGACACTACAATGAGCAGTTGTCCCAAATCTACACAATAACCCAAAACTAGATACATACCACGTTGAAAAAGGACAGTTTTCCTAACCATATTTCTGTCCTTATCACCGTTAACTCACACTGCATGCATGTATGTAGCCCCATTTCTGTTTACCTAACAGGGCAAGAGTGCCAATGCCAAAGAAAAACAAACAAATAAACAAAAGAAAAACTTACATCAACCAGAAAAAACCTCCACGAAATAGAGACAAAACAAGAAACCCACCCATGAGTGAATTTTAACATGCATTAGAGGTCAGAGAAATGTGTCTGTCGTTTCTCTGTGTGGTAAGGTATCTTGAGTTATACGAAACTCTTCCATTGAAGAAAATTTCAGTTGAGTATCACAACTGCCAAACTCCTGCCTTAAGTGCAAAGTACAGGTAGGACTCTTTTGTTAGCTGATTATTTCTAGTTCAAATATCAGCATTTTTAAAGTGACTATCTGTTTTTCTTTTCCTTTTTTCTTTTTCTCCCAAAATATATGCCAATATTACCAGCTTACTTGGTTTTAGTTACAGAAACACACTGAAGGTAGTTCAGAGAATGAAAACATCCAAACCTCAAATTGGAAGTGAAATACTATCTCATTTTACATTACATTCTTGTTGTGGAAAAAAAGAATAAAATGGGGCTCAAGATGTAGTTACTTAAATGGATTATAGTATTTATAGCTCTCCGAGTACTTGCGAAAGCCTTTCGTTCAATGGAAACCTCAACTGAATATTTTTTCAATGAAATGTACGCCATGACAAACACTGTGAGTTTGCCTGTGTGAGCTTGCACAAACTTTCCATCCCTGGAAAAGCTGAAAGGAATGCTGGTAGGCTCCTTTTCCTTGCTATTTTCAGCATTGTCCAGGGATATTTCATTGTCAGCCTTTGCTGATGAGCTTTTAATGAGTTCACAAGCTCTGTATAAGCAGAAATCCAATGAGTTGGATGAAACGTCCATTTATTATGGCCAGCTCTACCTGAATGGAGTACCCTTGATGTCTGTATAATAGTAGTCATTTGTCATCACCAGGACCCGCTTCTAGATTCAGAACAAGAAAGTCAGAAGGGGAGAGGGGAAGAAGTTAGTTTGTTATAAGAAATGTATAAAAGATCAAGTGGTTAGTCACTGACATAATTAGAAGCAAAGTTTACATGCAGTGAGTGAAAAAAAAAGATACTGCAGGGAACCATATTTAAAGCAGCCTTAAAAATAATTTTAAAATTATCTGCTTGCTTTATATTTCATTGGAACAGTATTTTAGACATTGTACCCCTTTGTCCACTGTCTTCTTCACTTCCATGGAGAATTTTCCTGTTTTCCTGTTCACCATTGCATTTCGAAGCTGAAATGAAGGAAATGTGTGTCAATTCCTTTATTTGCTTTTTCTGTAATCCTTTTAACTCTGAGCTCTCCAATACACTCATCTGGCCTAAGTAGCACGAAATTTTCTTCATTTCTTCATTTCCAGTAATTCTACTACACACTGGAGAAGCCATTTACAGATTTTATTAGTTACTGTATAGGCCAAGCCTCCTGCCATGTAATTTCAAGATAAGGTACATAAGATAGCATCCTTCAGAGTAAAACACCTTTTTGTGTAGTAATCTGGATTTTATTTGGTATGAACAGTATAATGGATTATTATTCTACATTTACTGCATGGCAAGGCAAGGACTAGATTCCTGGCTGGATTTAGCTGGTTAGACTAGAGCCCAGAGTTTAAACACATCAACAAAGACACAGATAACAAGAAAACAAAAAAAAAAAGAGAAAACCCCACTTATCTTACACTATTTACTCTGCCTAAGAATCTAGATCGGGCTACATCCTTAACAAGCACCAGAAACTTCATCCTAACTGCATCAAAAATTAACATTAGCCCATGAAAACCAGCATGACAGCCCATTTGATCAGCAACATGATCCAGTGGGAACACACAGCTACAGTGCTCTGCAGTTGCCTCTGGTTGTCCATTGGTGTCCAGGCACCCCTTTGCAAGGTATTAAATTTTGGGTCTGTAGTGGAAGCCCTAGGTCAGTCACAGCTTGAACAATTGGCCTGGATGTCTCCAAGTCTTCCAAAAGACATTTTAAATCCCCTTCAAAAATGTATTTCATTGCTTTATAGGCCAAAAATTCAGAGAAGCTAGGGAAAACAGAAAACAAATGGAAAAGGGTTTACACACAATGATTTAGCTGCTGCTCTGCAAGTTAAATCTGTTACTTTTTAGATCACCACTACAAACACAAACTCTTCTCCTGTAACTTTTTTTTCTCTTTTCCTACATGAGCTACAGGCTCCCAAACCTGGGGGCTGCAAAGTCCCTGGCCCATCATCCCTAAAACCTCTGCCCTTAGCACACCTTGGTGCTCCCTGCCTTCCTCCCAAAGGACACACAACCTCTCTGATAGGTGAATGTGTCATGATGGGGAAAAGAAGAGGAAACAACCCAGCAACCATCCCCCAGGCCTGTAAGCCAAAATGAGCATCAATGTCCCCAGGGATGAGGACAGGCCACCCCAGCACAGCTGGTCTGAGGACAGGGTCTCTGGGTTAAACAGGAAAGACAAGACAGGTTTTCTGAGAAATCCTCAGCCTTCAGGTTTTGAATTTGCCTATTTATCAGCTCACTTTAGGGAAGAAATAAAAAAGTTGCTGTTTAACAACTACACCATCCATAAATGGAAATATTTAATTTCAACACTCTTAGATTTACTAATGGAAGACATGAGTTATTTTGCTTTTTGTGGGAAAAAGCACCTATAGATCTTTTGCAGCTGTAATTTTCATTACAATTTGAAAATTCCACTATTAAAAATCAATTCAACATTTAAAATGGAGGAAAATATTGACACAATGAGCATTTTTATGTCTCTTCTATTGCATATCTATCTAAACACAATTTTAGACATCATGTTCCTGCTGAATAAATACCTCCTGTTCTACAGTACCTCCTGCCAGATCGAGCAATTCAGCTGAGTTTTAATGAGAAATTGTGACGACAGACATATCAACGTGCTCTGCAGGCTGAGTTAGTATGGAGGCCACAGAGAATCACCAAACTTGCCAGTGAAATATCGAGTTTTATTCTCACAAACAAGTTGAGCATGGCTAACCTATCAAAAACTGCAAACTTTGCAGCTCCTTCAATTTAATTCTAGGGCATCTAGATTTCAATTAACAGTCTTACTCCTCTGTCAGTGAGTGTAAAAGAATAATTTTTAGCTGGAGGCATATATAAAATAAAGCATATATTTTACTGTAGTGTTTTTTTTTTTTTAACAATACATAATAGGCAATTCTGGAAATAGTTTCCTATTTTAAGTTTTGTGGTTTTGGACTTGGAGAGCTGGTCTTAATTAACCATCTACTTTCTAACATTTACAGAACAGTTCCATTTATCTTTAACATGGTTTTCATTTTTCTCCTATTGGTGCCTGCAGTTGTCTAAGACCCATTCCTCCCACAAGCCTCAGGCAAGTCATAGATTTACTAAAAGGATCTCCAAACTCTCAGTAGTGTTTAAGATCAAGTCTGCATGTGGGATTTAGAGTTTTACTCTTTTTTTTTTTTTTCCCCCTGCTTGCTGTGATTGCATTTCTTGGCTTTGTAATCCAGTTTCTCAGCTCTTCTGCAGTTTCATCTCCCTCCTCAAATGCATAAAATAAGCACTGCCTCAGCTGGCCTCAAGCCCCAAAAAATTCATTCATGGACTTTTTTTTTTTAATTTGGAAAAAAAATATTTCATTCAGCTAGAAATTATAACAGAAGAATTTTAAGTGAGTTAACGAGAAAAAGGTTTCTATCCAAGTTGAAACTTCTCCTCTTTGGTACTGTGTATTTGCAAACCTTGCTGGAAGACACTGTTAACAAGCTCATGCTAAAATTTCTGTTTCTAATAAAATGCCTTAACAGCAAGATAGAAAGTATTGTAAACCTGGAAAATGAGCTGATATATTTATGACAACAATATTTCACGGTGAAAAAAATTCTAACCTTAGTTTGGCCACCTTTTCCTCATTGGATCACTGGAGAAAACCCATGTCTTCACCTTTCAGAGTAATAAGCATTATTGCTCCTTCAACAAAATATCTTTCAATCAATTCCTAACAACTCAGTTTCACTGCTGCAGGATGAGATCATTCCATATTCTTGGAAAACTATGTGACCATGAAATTAATGTGGCAAAAAGTAAGAAAATGTCTTAATCAGCTTCTCTGTAAGTGTTTCATAGGAGAAAACTATACCAGTAGTAGTCTATGTTATTAAAAGCAGCTATATGAATACATTAATTCTTTCCCTCTGCAGTTGAATAAACAATGCTTTACTACCCAAGCATAGAAAAAAATCAAGAACATCAAATCCAAGGCCCTGGGTGATGCAGAGCCACATGTAGCTTGCTTTTGTGTTACAATTAAAAAGCATATTTACGACTAAGAAGCATATTTTATAGGGGAAAGAAAGATTCAGATGAAAGGTATGTAAATACTTTTCATCAAAACGTGAAATAAAATTTTTGTAGCCTTCAGATAAGACAATATTTTTTGTAAGAATTTCTCAGAAAAAGTGATGGACCTTAGGGGTCTCAATCAAAGGCAATACTTAGAGAAAGCTGAATCTAGACTTTCATGTGTACTCAGAGAGAATCTCAATTATAAATAAAACTTGATTTTCAATGTCAAAAAAAAATAGCTCAATGTTCCATTATCGGAACCACTGAACTTCCACTAAGATATGATTTTTAAAAAGGGATTAAAAATATGAAAATTAAGCAGAGGAAGTAATGGAATAAATATAAAGAAAAAATGAAAACAAACCAAGGAGAAATAATAAGAAAAATCATGAAGGTTTAAAGAAAAAAATCATGAAGTTTTAAAATCTGTGTGTAACTACAGCAATCACATGTGAAAAGACAGAGGAAATTTTAAAAGTTATCATTAGAGAAACTGATTGAGTAATATGCGATCAAAGTTAAGAGAAAAAGCAGGGTATAAAACATGAGACCAGTGCGATTGCCAAGATTGCAGAAGGCTGCTACAATATATGAAAATCTTACGAGGAAACCTTAAATAGTGTGTGCATAGAAAATGACACAAAGCTATAAAAACGTTGAAAAAGTTTGTGTGTGCACTCCAACACAAAACTTCAACTTAGGAAGTGAAATGGCCTCTGAGGAGAGGCTGAGGACCATCCATCACCTGGTGAAACAGACCTTGCTCAAAACATAGATGAACTGTCTCACTATCCACCCAGGGGTGGAGAGAGACAGGAATGCAAGATATATATTTTGTAAGGGAGAAAGAAAATACAGACTTATGTCAGAACAGAGATCAAGAAATTAGGACATCTGAAGACTGACAAGACTCCAGGGGCTGCTGTACGTGATCCACCCCAGATTTTGGAAGGACATGACACAGTAAATATGGGAACCTTCAGTGCATGTATTCAAACCTCTCTGCAAAAGCAGAGGTCCGAGCGACCTGGGAGAAGCTGACACAGGGCTGATATTTGAGAAGGGATCGAGGAGACATCTATGAAAAATACAGACATGCAGTCGTGACTTTGGCAGGAGGGACCTTACGGGAAAAACTAAATTACGGGACAGAAAGGTGAACACCTGGAAAGTTACGATTTAATTAGGGACAGTCAGCACAGATTCACACAAAACAAATCATGCCTAACAAATCAGATTTATTGAGGAAGTGACAGAAAGAACAGGCAAAGGTTAAGCCATGGACATAAGGAAAGCTTTTGATACAGTACTGCAGAAAAGGCTAAGCCTGAAAGGTAAGAAAGAATAAGATAAAGAGCGAACTACAGAGTAGGTGGAGCACTGAAAAATGAGGTTAATGGAAAGCATTGTGTGATAGATACAGAACTCATGCTTCTGCAGCTACCCATGTGTCTGAAGTTAGAGTTTGGAGTGAAACTCTGCTCTGCACGTAGGTCAAAGAATCCAATTTTGTTTATTCATCTGATGTTTTTTCACTTTGTACGTTAAGTAAAAGCCTCCAATTACTTCCATTAAGGAAAGAAGGACCTTTCATGGAAAGAAGTTCAACTCATTTCTGAGTTTCATCAGTTGTCTGGGCCAGTACTGATGAGACATTCTATTCCTGTTTCTAGTGCTATATTTGCTACCCAGCACAAATACACAATGGGATGCATGGAGACTGCAAGGGTGATGAGTTTTACCAAAAATACAAAGAGTCTGTGTTTGTGCTGCATGCATATGTAAGGAAGAAGCAATGCAAAACAGTTATAAAATTCAGAATTAAAGGGTCTGTTGTTCTTCCCTTCCTGAGAGCAGTCAGGTGGTCTCTCTAATGACCACTTAAACAGCTTCCAGGTACAGTAGTAGGATGCAGCAACGTCTTCTGACAGGGTTTTAAACCACGTCACTTACCACATCATCTCTGTCTTCCCACTCCACCTCAGAGAGATCCACACTACTGTAGTTGGGCTTCCTTCGCTTCTTCCCCTCTTCATACTGGTATAAGAAAAGGGGAATAGTTAGCACATCCTGTTTTATTTGCATGATTTTTCCATCAGAAGATCCTAAAAAGCTCTAAATGCATGCTGATGGTCTGGAATACAATTAGCAGTATGTAGTTTAATTCACACTGCTGAATAAATGCTCCCTGTGAGCTACAAACCTAAAACCCTGATAATTTGCATGATCTCTTGCCATGATGCAGAGATTTACTTGATGGACACACAGGGAGGTCAAACTCAGCACGTTCTACTCCCCATATGGAAAATACATGAGAACTTGGATCTTGAAGTTTATGTTAAATATCTCCAACTGGCTCTTTCAGCTGTACAGGAAGTTATATTTACTATAATCTTATCAACAAAATGTTTACCCACTCCACTTCAAACAAGATAAGATGCAAGTCTTTGGGAAGTAGGGTGCTAACATTTGCTGATACTTCATTTTATCTACAACTTCATGGGGAAAAGTAACAGTAATAATGATAATGTAGGGGGTTTTATCACTACTCACTGTTACACTGTAAATTGCACATTTAAAATAAACATTCTCATGACAAATTAATTTGACACTGAGGTGTTTATAACGTGGGAAATTCTGCCCTCTGCTGAACATTCAAAATCAGCCTATTAGTGCAACCACACAAACCTGGCTGAGTGGAAGAAAGAAGTGCTTTGGAAGGCCTGTGAATAAAGACTCTGACTGGTTAAGTAAAATTAGGAAACTACATTTGAAAAAACAGTAAATTTGGGAGAGGACTGGCATAATGTGAAATCCAGTCTTTTATAAAAAAAAACCACAAGTCTTTTTATGAGGTATGGCAGGAGACATTGTGATGCTGTGAAATGTCCCCGAATTGCTTTTGTGACTCCTCAGCAGCACCACAGAAGGGCAGAAGCTGTACCTGTAAGGCAATATATATGGCTGATTCTCCTCCCTCAGGCCAGCAGCAGCTACACCATAAACCAAACCTGTCAGTGTTGGAGACGAGCAATTCATCACCACAGCCAGCAGTGCAGGCACTTCCAATCACGTTCTGCAGATTACACAAAGACCAAGGGAAAGCCTTGCTCTCTGAGCACTAAGAAGGTTATTTCCATCCTGACTTTTTTTCTCTTTGAATTAAAAATTCTCATATCGATCCCACAGTTGCTTTTGTAGACCATAATACTTAAAAAATAGGTACAACAAAAATCTGCCTGGACGGAAAACTTTTAAAAATTGAGTACAGCATTATAAACACAAAGATTTTGAGATGTAACACTGCAAATTTTCTCCCAGCACGGGCTTCACTGAGCTTGCTTAATTTTTGCTCATAAAAATTTTGGATACTCCGACTTTTCTTATAGACAGTTCTTCTAGGAAATTCTGTGGAATAAAATCCCAAGTCAATTCTCATTCTTTTGCATTAAAAAAACCCCAGTACCTCTGTTGGTGTAAGTTCTGAAAAGTGATGCAGACACAATTGAAAAGTATTTTCATGTGCTTTTCTTGCCCTTTGCTAAAACCCACTATTCTTGTAACAAGGCTGTCTACTTCTTGTCTACCACCACTCAACAGATGGGTAGAAAGATGTAAAGAACTTCTTCCTTCAGCACGTGCTCATAGTCCAGACTTTGAATTCAGGCAGCTCAGTTCTACAATTAATTCCTGCTCTGTGACAGCCCAGATAGCCAGAGAAATAACTATACCCAAATATTGAAGTACAAAATTTGCAGCCAATATAATTAAATCTCACAAGAATAACACAGGAGAGGATAACATCCCATTCATTACTAAGGCTTGATTTCTGTAGCTGTGTTTTGCAAGCCTTTCATTATGGCTGCAGCTATATCAATATTATCTTTAATCTTTACATGGAGTAACTACATTTATTCTCTGTGGCTGCACCAATTAACCAAATCAATCTTTGATCTGACTTAGTCATTCTAGTATAGAAATGGTTACAGTCAAGCTCTGAAATACTGAGAGCTGAACAGTGTTACAAAGACATTAGCTGGGATCATTTGAGTAGAGCAAACAGCTCCTGTACTGACTCCAATGTTTAATTACATCCTCCCTCACAGATGTTGAAGAGCTCCTGGGCTATACTGCATTCTCAGACACGTGCAGAGCCTTGCTAAGGCCAAGAAAAGTTGATCTTGTGTGTCTGACATCAGAAGTAGGCTTCAAACACAAGGCAAACCATCAGCATCATACTGATTATGGGGCTTGTATTTATCTTAATCATATAGATTCCACACCTTGCACTCAGAGAGCAAAAACCCAAAACCAAAAGCAAACAAATGATTTGGATAAAACATCCAAAGTTCTGCAGAAAAGAATCAGAAGCACTCATGTCTTAAAAATTCATAAAAGATGACACAAAGCCAAAATCCCAATGGTCAAGCAAGAGTTAGGCTCTATAAGCATTCAAAGGAATTGCAAGTGTACTTAAATGCATTTAGGACAGGAACTAATAGGGTATTGAGATGTCCAGCCCCTTATTCAGCAATCACACTTTAGGGGCTACTCTTTAATTGCCTACACAGGAATTCAATAAGTAAAGAATAGATTTATGTTATAGTTCAGAAAAGGACAGCAGAGAAGACAAGACCAACTAGCAGGAAGGATGGGATATAAAAATTATTTGTACATAATCTTCATGAAAAAAGCACCTTATTCCCATCAGTACATTTTTATTATGCTTATGTAAACAGGGCATCAAACACCAATGAAAGCAGATCAGATATAAAATACTTCATAAAAGTAATGTTGAAATGTCCATTCTTTTCTAGCTTCTTTCTGGTTTTATTGCTTAACTTATTTCTTAGTAAAAGTAATTCATGGACACTGAAGCAATTCTACAGGATTTAAAAATAGCATTCATCTATATCTTCTTCTCTGGTAGCAAACTTAATCTAACCTTTTATCTCTGAGGCTCTTGGGTAAAGTATAAAATGCTGATTGAAGCCTGAAACCAAACCCATCTGCAAGATTACTATAAAGCATTGAATAAAATCATTAAGAGACCCATTGGGAATGAGAGAAACTAGGAATTCTACCAAATTACTCTGATTTAATACAAGAGAAAAAGAGCTAGATTTAAAATGCATGCTGCTAATCTTTGGCTAGTATAAAATATGAGGTGGTATTATATAGCAGTTAACCCCAGGAGGGAAAAAAAGATACTGAAAAGTGTTAAATAGCTGGACTGCAAAAGAAGAAACTTTTGGTCCGCTCAAAACTACAGGATGGTTCTAACTTATTGTTTGTGAGAAAAACACAGGATTTGGTTTTTCCATTAGAATGAGCTTTATCTTACTCAGTATCTTTCGTTTGAGACTGGGCCAGACTCTTACAGCATTGCATGATTCAAACAATGTGTGACGTGTGCTGCTTAAAGACTGAACCACATTTTTTCAGCACCCTGTACACAGCCATTTACATGTGCCATTATTAAACTCTTTGCTTTGATTTTCTTTTTTTTTTTTTTTTTAACACAAGCAGTCTCAAGCCATCTGTATTGAATATGACCAGCCACGTGTTTATGGAGTCAGAGTGTAGCAATCTGATCAAGGACAGAGCAAGCTACGTCTTAACAGCTGCAATCCTGGGTTTAAGGTGATTGGAATTTCTCAGACGTGCTCCATCTGGATAATGGGGAGGTAGGAGAGAGGAAGTGGCTGTGATAGCAGCCTTGGAAGCATCATCAGATTTTAATGAACTTTCTAAGCCACAATGTGGAATCATCTGTGAGAAAATACTTCAGTAAGAAAGCACTTACTAAAAACCAACTAAAACCTAGAGAGGTAAAAATAATTTCAAGGACTAGCTCTCCATTGCCAACCTACTAATGTGTACGAAAGTAAGGAATTAGGTACTGAAAAAACTCCTCAAATTTTAAGACATAGCATCATTGACTGAAGTTTTCATCTTTTTGAATTAGCACTTCAAAATTTGGACAATGTATCAATTTCATCAGGTGAAATAATCTCATCAGTCCTTGAGAATGACCCCTTTTTCTATTGTTTAGAGGAGACAAGGGAAAATCTGCAAATATATTTTGCTGAGCTTGAATTCTACGGAATAAAATTCTGAACAACATAATAGTTTCTATAACTGTAATTTTCACTAAACCATCCTGAAAGGTATTCTTATCTACAAAGTCTGATAGGAAATCTTGAATGAACAAATATGAGAGGAAAAGGACAATTAACTAAAATGACACACTTTTCCATGCAGTTTTAAATAAACAGGCAGAGGCTGTAAGCACCGTGTTATTTGCTATACCCTGGTCTGGGCAGTGATTCAGCTCCCTCCCTCCCTCCTCTCACACTCTGCTCACTAAAGCTGCCACTTTTTTATTGCCTGGGGTACCTTCGACTGTCATGCAAAGCCTGGGGTGGGAACGACATCAGACCTGACTTCCCATGGTCAGTGCACCATCCAAGCCCTGGAGCAGCCCTCCCAGCACAGGCTGCTGCTCTGTCCCACTGCTCCCACTGCAGGGACTGTGCAAGGCGAAAGTGTGATTTTAAAACAAACAAATTAATAAACCAACAAAAGCCCAAACAAACAAACCAAAAATAGTAGCAAAAAATCCCCTTCCCTGCTTCACCTGCTTATAACCTGGTAACACAGCATCACCCCCAGTGACTGAGCTTTCATTCTCCGTGTGCTGCTTAGCTCCAAAACATTCTGCCTGGGGATACATGTGAAGCAGCATCTTAATTTAAATCACTGCTGCTTGGCCTTTAAGCTCTTTATTTCGTTTGGAATACGTTTTTCCCTGCTCACATGATCCTGTTTTGTCATTTGTGATACTTTAATTTCACGGTTTCCATCCAGTCTGCAACCTCAAATGATTTCTTATTGATCTGCACTTAGCCTTGAATCTGTAGAACACTAATAGGTGTTCTGTCAAAAACCAAAGTTTGTTTCTATACAAACCTCTGTAGTTTAATATTGAAAAAGGCAGCACCTTAATTCTCTTAGGAAAATAGGAAAATCAACTT